CTCAGGCGGTCAGATACTTATGACCGCTACTGTAAAAAAGGCAATGGAATTTACTTTCTAAATGATATAATCTGTTCTTATCCTTGCAATCTCTCCAGGGCTGACATACAAGCTTGTTTTGCATTTTCAGTAAAGCTTACTTATTTTCCTTATAACATCACATCACGTGACCTTATGACATTAGAAAAATAATTTTTGCTACTGCTTGGATCATTCTTAGAGTACGCTCTAAATATAATTATTTACAGTATGTCTTTTTCTATTTTCTCAATAAGAAATATATCCAAGCTGCTATAGATATCAAGAATTTAACCTTAAATAATAAAAAACTTGAATAGACTATAATACTTCTTCTTACCCTAAATATCGTCAGACTTCTAAAGACTATAGCATGCAAAATTTGTATCAGAGATTCCAACCTGCTCAATCTAACAATTATATCACACCTAAACATAGTTTTATAAGAGATACCATTCATGATAACATAATGTTTGCTTATGTGACTAAGACCTTATAACAATCTAACAGCTCTCAAGAAACTTCTAAGAGAAGACCTCTACTACCTCCTTCGCCTAAGTCTAACCTTAAATTATTTTCTCTTAACTCTTCTAATATTAAACTAAAGTTATATTGGGTGAATAAACTCATAGATGATTTCATGAAAACTGAAGTTATTTCTACTCTAAAATTAAATAATGATACAGCAAAAGGTGGTTCAATCCATGATTCAGATTTTAAACCATTTGTAACTTCCCAACTTACAACTATTTTAATATACTCACAAATCTTTATGTTAAATTTAAGTTTTCATAGCAATGTTTAACTGTCATTAAAAAAACTCTTTATATTAGTTATTACTTCTGTTAAAGCAGAAGAATTTAATAATAATTTACCAGAATCTGCTACTGAAGTAGACCAAAAATCTCCACATATTAATATCATTCTTTACACTGCCTATTTGCAGAAACAAACAAATAAATAATTAGTTCTTATTTACCAGAAACAATAATAATGTATATTAGAGTTTACCCTATTACTTAACCAATTATTTAAAACTTATCATAATTTCTAAACTGTATTTATCAATAAGAATCTTCTTAGCAAATATGATACATAAGTCTTTGAAACTTTGAATGAAGATTTTAACAAAATAACTAAATGTTGCATTAGCAGCTTCCTCTAATAATTTCTTTTATTAATATGATTACTATTCTTACAGATACTTCAAATAATCCTATACTACTTCTAATCCCATCAAAACTAAAAAGTTATCCATTGCATTACATAATATTAGAGAACTTAATGAATCTACCAAACAAAATATTTTCATTTCACTTTACACTATATATTATTATAATATAATAACCTTACAAGAAACTAACTTTAAATATAATAATGCCTTCATCTTTAATCGATCATTTTCTAATTACCAAATATTTTTCAGTAGAAACTTTAATAGTTAATCCATTTGATTTCAGTATCAGTCTCTCTTTCAACCCTCAATTTTCTAAATACATTCTAATATGATTCCAAATATAATAGAATAATTCACGCAAAAACTTCAATTACTGGATAAATAAAAATTGCTTATTATTAACATATATATCCTTCAGAAAAATCTAAGAATAAAATTTTCAATCAAGTCCTGACACATAGCATGCATCTGCTTGATAATGCCATCAAAAATAATAATCACATTATTTTCCTTGGAGATTTAAATGTTGATATTGATAATACAAAGAATAATTCTTCTCAAATAATCTCTTTTTTAACTTATTACATCATTACAACCTCTTTGATTCATTTACAGTCTTATATGATATTAATTATTCATCATTTACTACTTTTCATCATAATCAGTTATCTTCTTAGATCAATTATATCTGAATGATTTCTAAACTGATATTTAATTTGTTTGATATTAATGTTCTGCCCATCAATTCATACATTTCTGATCACTTTATCTCCAACATTAAATGTTTTAATTTTTTAAAAATCATTACTAATAGTTGCAATTGTCCTACTAAATTATTATTCAATTTTAATAAGATGGATGCAAAAATATGGTTGCAATTTAGAGACAAGCTTGATCATTCCATAAATAATTATGCCCTTAAAGTATTTTTTCTTCGACAATTTAGTCTCAAACCTCTCTAAACAAATACTGGGATTTATTTCAGGATATTTTAATTATAATTGCAAATAAATATATTCCTGTCAGCAAATCTAAAGTTCATCATATTTCAAAAAACCAGTCATAATATTCACATTATATGCCAATATCAAGATATTATAGAAATTTTTCAAAGTATTACACAAATATCTTAAAGACAACTTGGTCTCTCTTAAATGGTTGAACCTTTATAACAAATTCTTAGAAATTGCACTTGATAGTTTCTTGCAGATTATTTCAATGAGACCCTTTTCTAATAATACGTATATCAGATCAGTTTTACTTGATATTCGATTATTACTTGTGTCATTACAAATAAAGCTTAAACTTAAAGAACAAAAATTCAAACTTTTCAGTATTCAATAAGTACTCTAATATAGAATAGACAATTATAAAACTGATCCAAAAAAATGATAGACTCTATTCTAAACAGAAAAAGGAAAGTATTGGTGAATTTTTGTGAGTTTAAAGTCAAACAAGACCTATTCTCATCAAAGGGAAACCATATTTTCAAGAACCCAACTGTGTAAAATTTTAAAATAGAAAAGAATGCAAAAGAGCGAGAAAGAGTTAATAATTGAGAATTATAAAGAAGTAACAATATTTGTCAAAAAAATTAACAAAGATGGGTAAAGACTGTCTAAGTATTGCAAAAAGATTTTGATTATTATTTTTCAAATATAAGTTAAGGCAAGCTCATAAAGGACACCATGATAACAAAGCTTTTATATTGTGATTCAGACGGTAATGTGAGTTGAGACCTGTATTCAAGTCTTAGAAGGAGAATAGTATTAAAAATATAAATCAGCTGTAAATCTGTAAAGCTTTTATACTTCATAATAGTAATGGCTTTCTTAATTTTACTATATATCTAATTGTAAATAAACTTTTTGATAAACTTGAATGAGATCCAAACTCCCAAGTATTTAACACTAGCTTTTAGAGAAAGTGTATTGATAGATTACATATTATTATTATAGTAGATTTCAAAAAGAAGTTTTTGTAGAGTGTTGACAAGGAGTTTTAATTTTAACCAATTGACTTGTATATCATTAAAAGCGAAGAAATTGTTTGCAATAGATGTAATATTTGTTAGATCATCCCTAAACTTAGCGAGTTAGAAAGTGTTATCTATGTAAATGAGGACTGGAATCTTTAAATAAGAAATGTTAGAATTGAGAAGAATAGCATTAGGATGCCATTTGACTTTTATACTAAAACTATATAAAGAATTATTAATAGCTAAAGCTCTGAACGGTTCAGATTAATCCGAAAATTTTTGGTTCAGATTAACTTCGGTTCGGTTTCGGATTGCAAAAAATTCAATCTGAAAATTTTCAGTTCAGTTCGGATTTTTTTCAGATTATAAATCTAATCTGAACTGAAAAAAATCCGAACTGATCCGAAAATTTTGGATTAATCTGAAAGTTCAGTTCGATATATTCGAATCTCGAAGGGAACCTAATGTGCGATTCTCTAAAGAGTTTTGCAAATTACTTGCAAAACTCTAAGGGAATCGCAAAGTAATTGCGAATCTCTTAAGAGAATCACAAAGTAATTGCGAATCTCTTAAGAGAATCGCAAATTACTTGCGAAACTCTAAGGGGAATCGCAAAGTAATTGCGAAACTCTAAAAGGATCGCAAATTACTTGCGAAATTCCAAGGGAATCGCGAAATAATTGCGAAACTCTTTAGAGAATCGCACATTAGGTTCCCTTTGAGATTCGAATATATCGAACTGAACTTTCGGATTAATCTGAAATTTTCAGTTCAGTTCAGATTTTTACCAGTTTACGGTTCAGTTCGGTTTCAGATTGGCCTATAATCCAGACTGAACCGAACCATTCAGAGCATTATTAATAGTATATAGAAGTGAATCATAGTAAATACATCACAAAAGTAGTGATATAACTTCACCTTGATCTATTCTTGAGTAAACAAGGTATGTGTTAGAGTTTCCATGGGCGGTGAAAACTTGGTTGAATTTAGACAGAAATAGGCGTAAAATATTATAAACAAATTTAGCAGAAAGATGTAACCTTGCAAGAGCTGCAGCAAAAGTAAAAATATTTACATAGTCATAGGCTTTAGATATATCTTATAAGAGGATCCACAATTTTGTGTTATTGTAAAGGGTATTTTATTTGATATTATCAAAGATATAAATGGGATCAAAGATGAATTTGAAAGGGAGATCAGCGAAATTATATCCTTTTAGAATATTATGTTAAACAAAAATATTAGCAAGTCTTGAATGAAAATTTTCATGTTCTACAAAAAATAATGTATATTAGAAATGCTTATGTTAATATAAAAATTTTTTATATTTATTATTATATTTCATTACAACTGCTTTACTAATTTACTAAATTTTTATCCATCTAACTCTTCATACATAAACAAGCTCTTGATGTTTTAATAGTAAATGATTTTGATTTTTGTAAATCACATTTCCTGCAATTGAAAATGCTTACTCTAACATGACACTTGTAGCTTGTATTGTTAAATAATCTTGAGCTATATTACTCAAAACTGAAAATTCATTTGAATGAACTTGCTACTATAAGAGAGGTTCAGTTTCTTTATCAATTGATAGTTCAAGATAATGATTTAATTCTGTTTTTATCTCAGTACTGAAGTAGATATTTTATTTATAGATGCTATATTTTGTTAAAGTCATATAAAATATTGGTGATTCTTTTTAATAGGGGTAGATGAAACTAAATTTGTAGATGAGTAATATTATTCTTTATAAAGTTCAAATATATATTGAATTTGAGCACAAGCACTTAGTTTTGATTCTTTAAAAAAAACAGAAAGTTTACTTTAGGTATCCATAATTAACCAATATTTTTTAATTTTACTAGATATTAAAGCTGCTACTTCACTTGCTATAAAATTATTATCATTTGCATATTTGTCTAAATGTATCTGAATTCCTGTAAATACAAGATGAATATCACCTATTGTTGGATAAAATGATGCTGATAAATATCTAGTAGTCCTTTCTAAAGGTTCAAGAAATAATAACATATCCTATTGAAAAATAATTCATTATAATAAAAATCTATAAATATAAAAGAATATTTTTTTTTTAGTTTCATTTACCTTAATTGAATTCCAATCATTATTATTAAAATAAAAATTATTAATAAAAGGATTGTCAGCTATAAGTAAGATTAAAACTGATTCAAGTTTTTTAAATATTTTTAACATATAATATATCAAGTTTCAATGTGTATTCACATCTAAAATTGGTTTAAGATATTTAATATTTTTTAAACTATAAAAATCACAAAGTGAATCATAAAGACGTGTAGAATTTTTATATTACATATTATTTGACATACTTTTGTAATAGAATTACTGACTATTTTTAATCCTTTTTCACTCCTAAATTTAATACATGCGCTGCATAATGATAATGTGAAAAATTTATGAAGAAAATTTATTATCAAAAGCTGAGAAAATTTTTTTTCCACAAACTATTATTGCAGAATCGTTGTGAGTTGTAAGTATGATAATTCTTCTAGAAATATTGAATTCTTCTAAGACGTACATGATTTCTTATGCAATATTCACTTCAGAATATTTAATGGTAAATAGAATTATATTAAGTAAAAAATTACAAAAATTCCAATTAGAATCAATATAGTAAATTGTAAGTCCTAAAAAAGCTTTTTGATTTATTATAAATGTTCAAATATCAGCTATTTATAAGAATTTTCCTGCAATTTAATGAAGTTTGTTGCTAATATTATTCCTTTATATAGTAAAAGTATTAATTATCAAACTTATTTAAACAAAAAAAAGTTAAATAATATTATAATATAATAAAAAATTATAAAATTAATCTTACTTTTTGCTTTATATCAATTAGAAATAACATAACGTAAATAAAAAAATTTAATAAAACTTCTAAAAGAAATATTATCAATAATAGTAAAAGGCTGAAAATCATGTATAAGCCATTGAATAAGATATTTGTCATGTTTATTTTATTCTTGTCTATTATAAGGAGTTGTAATATTATTTTTAATTTTTTGTATTTTTGTAGGTACTTAAAGTTAATGTGTTTGAAGATATTTTCGTAAAAAAGATACACTTGTTGATGTTTGATATTTTTTTGAATATATTTTATAAATATTATAACTAAATACATCAGCTGGATTCTTATTAAAATACAACCACATACTACTACTTCCTAATGAAATGTTTGTCTTTGAATTTGAAGCCTGATTAGTCTTTAAAATATTACTAGCTGATTCATTAGAATTAATTTTATCAAGGTTAATTATCCACTCGTTTTTATTATCCTCAAGTTGGTTAGGATTGAATTCATTGCTACTTAATGTTCTTTCAGAAAAGGTTTCTTCTTTTTGTTCTTCCTTTTCATCAAAAAGAAGCATAAGAATTATTTAAATTATTTTCAATAATTATTATTTTTAAAAAAATTTGATGTTACAAAATTATTATTTTAACAATTAAATTACTGTTACAAAAATTGCCATTACAAAATAAATTGACGTTATTGATATAAATTATTGTATCACATAAATTGTAATTCATAAATTTATTTTTTATTTTTTATCTTATTTATTTTTATCTTAAAATAATATTATAAATTTAAATAAAACTAATTCAAGAGAGTCAGTTTTCTTAAAACTGATTGATCTGCTTTAACTCTTCAGTTTGACTCAAAAGCAGAACTGATATTTAATTCTAGAACTGACTCTGAGTCACTCTATCCCATTCCTATCCTAGGGCATCACTTGGATAAAATTGCTAATATTTATATATAATAATATTTATACTATTACACAGCCTGATGTTTATTTTTTAAAACTCCCAAATGGTATCTAATAGTGAAACAGATTTTAAAATCAAATGATGATAGAATTCTATTACTAATATATTTATATAATCATAATTATTGTTATGGATATAATATCTGTTAACCTTCTTTTATCTCTAAAATATTAAATATTATAGTTGGTTGGAATACTAATACAAATTCTTTGTCCTTGGTAAAGTAATTCTTTTTGAAAATAATATAGTTCACTTTATACACTATACTCCTCTTATTAGTCTCATAACTTTACAGTTTTAAGCTATATGAATACTGTTAATTATACTAATCCTTAATATTGATATTACAAGACTTTTACAATAAATATTTTTTTAACATATTACATAATCTTTGCTCAGCCATTCCAATTTCATTTAAGAATAGTATTTATAATACCACACATAGTATTCTCTCTTTAAAAGCCTTAAACAAATTGGCTTTGACACATTTTTTTATTCCTTATTAATTCTGATCTCTTCATAATTTCTAGACCTTTCACTTCTTCTGTTTTACATAATTATTGATGAATTTATTTTACTTTCACATAATTTAACTCTATTTAATCTTTCTCTTTTCTTTATATATTCAACTAATTTAGAATTTTATACTGATAGTTTTCTTAAAGATATTAGTTTACCTTTAATTAGAATGGGATTGATATATTTACAAACTTATTAAAGTTTACTAATTTTTTCCTTTTTCTCTGCTTTTGCTTCAGTTTTTCTTTCTTTATCTTTTCCTAAATTTGCAGTAAGTTTTTAGCTCTTTTAACTGCTTCTTTCAATTGCAATGTTTTTATTTTTACTGTTTCTACTATTATTATCTCATAATTTAACCAGTTTAGATTCTTTTTTACTATGGCTCCTTTTATTACATCTGCTCTCAAAATTAATAATTTTGTGTATTAGACTTGTTTTTTTGAACTGATTGATATATATAAGCTTAATAGTAAACTCATTAAAGTCAAAGTTCACTCAGATAATATTTTAACAACAAAGTTGACTTTTTGACAAAATTATACTTAAATATAACAGCCCTTTAATTAAATACTTATAATGTTCCTAAGTGCTATTTTACACACTAAAACTCAATCATTATTACTTCCATTTATTAGTTTATCAAAGATATCTCCTATGAATTCTTAATTTATAACTTACTCAAATTGAATATTTTATTTAAACTATTAAAAATTTATCACACAAACTGGTTTGTGATATCATTTGCTTTTTATAATAATGTCACACCTCAATCTACTATATACAATACCTCTTTTTTTTAAAAAAATGAAATATTAATGATTTTTAGAAATAATGCTTACTTTTGAGATCCTTAAAATTAGATATCTGTCACTTTACCTTTTACACTTTTGTATCTTCAATGTAACACAGCTGATGAAGACTTTTATTACATATAGATATATCTAATCGTCAACTATCAAATTAAATCCATCATCAATCAATTAAAAGATTATTTAAAAATCATTAATAATATACAAAATTGTGAAATTAAATAGTTTAACTATTAGATGCTATACACCTATAACTCCTTTTCATTCTTTGCTCTTATTAAAGAAATTGTTCCTATTTCTCTATATAACTTCATTTACAGTAAACTACTATTCTATTCTTTAACCTTTTTTGCCTATTCTTCTTTTATGCACTTTATTTTTAAAGTAACCCATACCATTTGAAAAGATTGCTGCTTAATCAATTATGATTTTGAAAAATCTTCTAATATTAATCTTAGTCTAAATTAGATAATTTTTTTTCTTCAGGTTACCCACTTACATCTAACCCACTTTCTTTTTCTAATAATAGTAATCCAATTGTTTTCATGAAGCAATTAGGATCTTATTGATTGAATTTTTAGTGTAATAGTAGTCATACCCTCATGAATTTAATTTACCAGAAAGTGATAATCTTAGCTTAGGTTAAATTTGATTTTAGGAGATGCAGGATCAGTCTTCTTTTTATTACAGTAGCGGTCATAAGTATCTGACTGCCTCTAACTCCAGCTACAAGTAAGTAAATTCAAAATTTTTTTTTTATTTAAAAAATACATAACCAACTAACTAAAA